CATCCAGTTGCGTTCTATTCTCGAAAATTCTTTGCTGTTGAGATCAACTATGAGATCCACGATAAGGAACTCCTTGCTATAGTAGATTCTTTCCAAGAATGGCGCCACTTTCTCGAAGGAACTACACATCCAGTGACCGTATATACGGACCACAAGAATTTGGAGTATTTTATGTCGGCTCGGATTTTGAATCGGCGTCAAGCTCGGTGGAGTATGTCGCTATCCAAGTTTGACTTTGTTATTACTTATCGGCCTGGGAAGCAACAAGGATTGTCCGATGCATTATCAAGGAGATCATATCTCGTGCCAAAGGCTGCAGATGCAGCATTTGATCAACAGTGCACGACATTGTTGAAGCCCGAGAAATTTCGGCTCAACGCAGCTATTGTACCAATTGATGCTGACTTCCTCGACCAGGTACGGGCGGCAACCATTGAAGATTCTGTAGCCCTTGATATCAAGCAACATGCTAGTGATGATAAATTCAAGATGGAAGGAGATCTAGTATATTTCGAAGAGCGGTTGTATATCCCAAAAGGGCCAACACGACTCCGAGTTCTTCGATCTCGTCATGACTTTCCAGCTGCGGGACATTTTGGATTCAATAAGACCTTGGAACTTATTTCCCGCGATTTCTGGTGGCCTCAAATGTGGAAGGATGTGAAAGATTTTGTTGTATCTTGTGACATTTGTTCAAGATCCAAAAACCCTCGACATCGGCCTTATGGACTTCTACAGCCATTGCCTATTCTGCGCCGACTATGGTCTTCGGTTTCCATAGACTTTATTACGGATCTACCACCATCGAATCCATTTGACAGCATTTTTGTTGTCGTAGACCGACTTACAAAGATGGCGCATTTTGTCCCTTGTAAGAAGACATCGTCAAGCGAAGACACAGCAAGACTCTTTCTTGATAATTTGTATCGATATCATGGTCTACCAGATGATATCGTATCGGATCGAAGAACCCAGTTTGTGTCAAAGTTTTGGAAATCTCTTTTTGAAATATTGAAGGTGGATATCAAGCTTTCTTTGGCATTTCATCCTCAAACGGACGGCCAAACAGAACGGGTGAATCAAGTTTTAGAGCAATATTTACGTTGCACCATCAACTATCAACAAGATGATTGGGTCGCATATCTACCGCTAGCCGAGTTCGCATATAACAACACCCTTCATGCGTCAACTCAACAAACGCCATTCTTTTCCAATTATGGATACCATCCGAAGCTTGACTTATGGAGTTCGGCAACGATTAACAATCCGACAGCTGAAGGATTGGTGAAGGAGCTTTCGCAGCTTCAAACTACATTGAAGCTTCAATTGCAAACTGCCCAAGAATCTTACAAGGCGTCCGCAGACAAATTTCGGAATCAGGCACCTAAATTCACGATTGGAGACAAAGTTTAGCTGCTTTGACGAAATATTAAGACCAAGCGGCCATGTGACAAATTGGACTATCGGAGATTGGGACCATTTGTTATCCAGAAGCAGATCAATCTTGTAGCGTATCGTCTGGAGTTACCAGCTACTATGAAGGTACATCGTGTCTTTCATGTTTCTTTGTTGGAACCTTATCGAGAATCATCTTTTCCTGGAAGAGTACAATGTCCACCACCTAGCATAGAAATAGAGAACCACGAAGAATATGAGGTGGAAAAGGTCCTAGATTCAAGGCAAAGACGGGGTAAATTAGAATACTTTGTGCATTGGAGCGGTTACGATATTAATGAACGAAAATGGGAGCCGGCCAAAAATCTTGCGAATACGTCGCAAAAGGTACAGGAGTTTCATCGACGATATCTTGAGAAACTCAAGCCGGTTCGACGATAGCTTCTTACTGAAGCTTTCTCATCCAGAAAACAGAAAAGAGGAGAGAGCACCACCAAAATCCATAGTTGATGTAGTCATTCTCTCCAAGATAGCGTAGAACTTTGTTAGTAGCCCAAGTTTGTTCTTATTGTTTTAGCCTTTGAATATGGATAGCCAAGATACTACACTTGTTATGTTATCTCAAGAAACTAGCTCACGAAGACGACCGCGAGATGAAGAACCGCCTGCACCACGATGACGTCGAAGGATTCCGAGCAACAGATCACTGGTGATTGTATTTGAGGTCGAGCCTGCCTACAATGGTCAGCCAGAAGGAGTGTTTGCAAGACAGTTTCACAATGAAGACACGGAGGTTCATGCTTGGTCAGAAGTTGAAGGCGTGGGCCACTACCATTGGCTTCAAGGACCATTGAATCACTTGCCTCGTGAAAAAGAATTGGAGTTCATAGCAGAGGTTATGCGACAGATCTTCATTTTCTTGCATTGGTATTAGCTGACGATAACATTGCTTCTCGGAGACCTCGAAGCTAAAAGAGGAGGTGATGTTAGGGACATAGTCTTAAGACCTTTCTAGAGACAAGTTTCTAGAACCTTCTAGAAAGAAGTCTCTAGAAACTTCCAGAAGATTCCTTGAATAGTCTCTTAGAATATTCTTTAAAGATTCCCTAAAGATTCTTTGAATATTTCCTAAAGATTCCCTTAGAAGGCTTTATAAGATTCTTAGAATATTCTAGTAGATTCTAGGAAGTTACTTGAGAAGCTTTCTAGCTCTTGGGTAGTTGCTCGAGAAGCTTCATAATTCTTGGGAAGCTTCTTGATGCGCTTCCTTAGAACCATAGGCCAGTAGTATATATAGGAGTCGAGGCTGAAGAGTTCTTCAGTCTCGACAACACATCTCTTGAAGCTCTAGCTCAATTCTCTTGGCGTTGCTCTTATACTCATCTGATAATCTAGTTCTTGTCATTTCTTCTTGAACTTCTTGTTTAGATTTCTTGTTTGTATTTTTGGTCCGTGACATATACCTACCTTATTGTTGTTGTTGTTATTGTTGCTATTTATTTATTATTATTATTTAAAAATAAATAAATAAAGATGTTGAATATAGACAACTTTATAATCTACAATTCAACTTTATTCAAAATAATTACAAATAAAAATAAATAAATATCTAAACATAAGAGAGTACATAAAAGTGAATATAGCTTTTGTACAATGAAAGTACCAAAATAATAGCATGAAAAAGCATTTGGATAGGATTCACCTAAATGCTTTAATTTGGATATTTTATGAATTATAAAAGATCAAAAAAATAAAATCTAACATAAAATTTTGAGTTTAATTACATAAAATTAACAAAAAATTATCAATCATATAAAATCTAACATAAAATCTAATATAAAATCGTTTTTACATGTAATTCAACTCAAAATTTAAAATAATAATTTGAAATTTATTCTATTTTAAGTTTTTAATATTGAGATTAATAATATATTTTAACTAATTATATATATTTTTATACCTTCATTGGACAAGTTGAAAACTTATATATATTTTGAATTGAATTACGTGTGAAAAGTACATTAATAAGTTGAACACAATAAACCTTTGAAACATCAACCAAATTGTAACCAAAATTATATTTAATACCAACCATTCTCATAAGGGACTTTTCTTGTGAAGTCATGAAATTTTTCTTATGAAGTCATGACATGTTTCAATTGATGTCATACAGTCATGACTACATTTAAACCCAATTCATGCCCCCAAAAAAAAAAAAAAAAAAAAAAAAAAAAAATGTGAGCTCATTTCAAGAGAAAAAATTCATACAGTCTAATGTTTAATTAAAATTAAAAAAAAATACATAAATAAATGTATGTATGGATGGGTCTGTGAGACCTGTGTCTTGACTACATTTTTGATGCCACTTTATTCGTTAATGGAGGCGATGACTTGCTCTTCGAAAAAGTCGAAGCATCCGTTACTATTCTTTTCTACAAATTCTCAGAAAGTGTATTGAATGGAGATGACTTGATAAGAAGTTTGGTTTAGCGTTAAAATGAAGGAGCTTGATTGCTCAAATCAACACAAGCATGATACTAACAGAATGTGACGTTGCAGCGGATCTGAAGTGCAAATCCTGCAGGAATAATGCCAGGTCTATCGTCACAACTTCGCTTTCGTAGTAGGGGAAACCAGCAAATGAAAAAGTCTGATCATAACAGAAAATTTGTACATGAATCACAAATAACACAATCCAGCATTAAATTGGCATCGGTTAGGAATCACAATTGATGAGCGGCCCTGGATTAGGATTCGAATATATTCGGATAGTCGTTTGGATTCTTTCACAATGAATGGATGGAGTCATCGAGCATGCCCCTCATGGGAGGAAAACCGACAAGCGTTTCAGTTCATTCTGGCCGATTCGAAGTTGACAAAAGTTGACGTATGGGGTTTAGGAGGGCCCACAAGCGTATTCCATGGGTAAAAATCTTCATGGTCGCAAGTGAGCTTGGGTGGACAAGCACGTGCATATGGTCAGATTGACCTTTGTTTAATAATAGACATTATTTACTGGTGCTTAAGTTCGAACACTGCGACCTTAAATGAAGCCTACGAGATCCAACCGAAGCTTCAAGACAAATCATATAGCTCAGAATTTCAACGCTACATAGAGTCGCTGCCAACTTTTTCGGGGGCGTGTCCTGGGCATGCAAAAATCATGACCAGGTGGCGCCGACTCCGGGAATTCGACAATACTAACTTCCATGATCATCGCTGTCGAATCAGAGTGTATGAAAAGAGCACTTAACGAGAGGGATTTAAGGGAAGTGCTTCTACCAACAGTAGTGGTGCCTGACTGTTCCTTAATGACTTGGAAGTATGGCCCGCCTTGTGCCTACGAAAGCTTACGTTGAGGTCCTTGACTAGATCGCACCAGCTGACTTCTGACGTTTGCAAGAGAGTACCCGATTTACACACACAGAAATTGCTGAGTTAAATTAACAAATCAATCATCACAAACTTGTAAACTGCTAGATTACACGCTTTACATTATCATCTGGTGTAGACTGCGGCTGCAACTTCGACAGATGATAATGTAAAGCGAGTGAACGTTCTTTCATGAACATCCCGCCATGCGCAGGGGTATTACATGCCAGGTCCGACAACCCACGTTTCGCTGATAATCTTTATTGTAAGAAGCAGGATGCGAATAGTTACAACATCGGGAAATTGTCACCGCGGAAGCACTACAGATGGTAGTGGGCATCGCAGAACTACTGCAAGGTGAATCGAAAGGTAGCACTTTCATGCGTCATCTTCAGTGTCAATGGTGAATCAGTGAAAACCGGGTCAGCGCATGAGCAAGGTAGTTTGGTGGTTATTTTGTAAAATATAAGACGAGAGTTGGTGGAAATAGTCATTCGGTTGAGAGCTGTTAGGTTGTAGCCGTGAGAGAGCAACCTGAGAGGCTGAGGACGAAATGGACTCGACGTTAGAGAATCGACCGCCCGAACAGGCGGAAGGATCGAGCTGGAGGGCCTTCTAGGCGATGGAACAGGCTGACACACCACGAACTCGAATCAAGCAAGTGCTGGATAGCTTCAATGAATATTTGTTTCAGGAGCACGATGACGAAGCTCTCTTCTGTACCTTAGATGACATTGCGACGACCAACAGCTTCGGAAAAGGCTCGGAATTCGGGTGCAGCGAGGGGCTCTCGCCATCATCCTCTTTGAACTTTAGCAGTTGCATGAATTTTTCGAGTCCGAGTGAGTCTAGTGACGGCAGCGCAAGTAAGGATGACTTTGCATCCTGCCAATACTCAAGCAGAAGCACAGCCGAATTGGCAGACGAGGCGCAGCCAGAGGTCAGAGGATCTGTAGAATCCGAGGGCAATGCGTGTCGTATAGAGAATGTTTCATGGAGAATCAAGGATTGCGAAGCCAGCTCCTTGGCTGCAAACAGCGACGAATGTGACAGCGACCTCCGCCAAGACGCGCCTGTCCTGGGCGGCAGAGATACTCCTATGAACGAAGAAACGGTCCGCGAGGGTGAGAGTTGTGAACAAAGAGCAGTTAGTTCTGTTTTTAGAGAAGATACGGAGGCCGCTCTGTTGGAAGTCTGGGAGGATGTTTGTGATGTTGGTTTTTCAAGCATTCAAACTATTGGGTCGCTGGAGGCGTCCACCTCGCAAATGCAGCAGTCTCCTAAAGTCTGGCGGGCGCCTCATTTCAGAGGTGTGAGGCAACGGCCACGAGGAAAGTTTGCGGCTGAAATTCGAGACCCCGCAAAGCAAGGAGCGCGCTTATGGCTGGGCACATTCGACACAGCAGAGGAAGCAGCTATTGCTTACGACCGTGCCGCAGTCAGAATGAGAGGATCTCGCGCTCTCCTCAACTTCCCTCTCAGAGCAGCCACGGCTCTGTCCAATCCTGAATCGTTTCCTCCGGCCCCCAGGACTTCTATTACCAGTCGAGGCTCAAGGTTTAGGTCCACCCCTCCCGCTGCAATCCTATCTCCTGAAAAGTCTCCATCATCATCGCCGCACAACAGAGACCAGGGACAACAGCCTCCTCCCCAGCAGCTAGGTTCCATCCTGGGGCTCCGGCAATTCATGCACACTACCAAAGTGGACACTCGAAGCTACATTGCAAAGCAGATCCAAATATCCTCCAAGAGGTCCCGGGAGTGTCAGATAATCACAGAACCTCGCCACCGATCGAAACTACTGCGAGTCAGTGACTTCGGCGTCTAGGACATGGGTTCCGACCTGACGAGCTCGCTGCTCCACTCAGCAAGAGCCACAGATATTTCAACTTTTGTGTGATAGATTTGCGCCACGCATACTTCAAAAGACAACAGCCATGTAGATACCAGTAGACGATCTAGACCAACTCTTCGTGTTGTAGAACCCCAAAAAACTCAAATTGGTGTAGTCGTGAAGACAGAAACTGGTTCAGTATCCATCCCTGTGCTCTAGACGAAGTGATGCGTTGTCATTGCAGTTGTTTAGCATATTACTCAGAATGCTTTCAGAACATGAGATCATTCTTAGGGTTGCTATGTATCATGGGTCTTAGTCTTATCTAGGTCCTCTACAGACTATTCACGCCTCGAAAGAGAAGAAATCAAAAAATTCAAAACGCTACATTGTTCACCATCATTCCGTGCAATTACTGTTACTCAGTGTGATATGAATCCAAGGTAATCACAACCAGCAGTCGCTCTCATGAAATGGTTTCACAGTTAGACAAAGAACGACTAACTCAGTAACAAATTCCAGGTTCAATTCGATGATGATGCTCAACTGCTGGGCATTGGTTGGCAGCAACCTCAGCAAATTCAGCAGCGGCAGTTTCCTCTGCAGGATTCGTGCTGAAACATCGAACTTCGTATACCCAGGGTACTTTTGGGTAGTCCTGCGTATCTTTAGCCAGTGAGCGTTGTCTGTATCAACGCATTAGCGTGAACAAACAAATACTTTTGTATGTACTGACTTTCCGGACAAGAGGTCCGTGAGCTTCTGTCTTCACGTATTGACGTCAATATAGACACACTTTTGGTTCGTGTGTGGAGGATTTTGCCTGTGATTTCGGATTTCAGCTCCGTGAGCTTCGGAACCAGTGTGGTCCGCGGCGCGTCAGAGCAGGCGCGCTTGACTTGGTGCTGCTGCGAGCTTCTGCAATGAGCTTGTTGATTCTGCAGCTCCTCATACATGGACTCCAGTCTGTTTCTTGTTTTGGCACACACACAGGGAGGACCTGTTGCTGCAAGTGAGAGAAACAAAAGACTTATGGGCCTTAACACTCCCCAATCAGCGTAGACAATGAATGAAATTAGTATTACTTACTCTCCAACTACTTCAGTTTTGGTCCCTAGGGTGTGAATGTTAGCTGGAATTCTAGTGTTCCATTTGCTTGTCATCCTAATTCTATGGCCAGTTGTGGGCATCAGAGTGGGAGAATGGTATGGAGTCTTCTTTTTTGAGAAAACTCACGTGGACCAAGGGTTCGACTACAAATTCAAGAGTTGTTAATGCTCCTAGTTGTTAATGCTCCTCCGTTATGTTATCAATTCAAAAACAATTTGTCAAACGCTCTTGTATTATATTTATATTTATATAATCTATAGGGCACAAAAAAAAAAAATTGACACAAAGTATGCCAATATGTGTAAAAAAAAACTACATACATTTTTATGTTGTGAAAGGGCAACATCTGTTTTTACATAATGAAAGGGCAACATGCATTTTTAGCCAACAAGAAGTCATTTTACCTTGGCTAATGAGAAGGTTTCAGTAATTGACTTATTAAATTCCGAAGGTCACCCAACAGAGAATTTTGGCCACCTTCTCATTGCTCAACTGTCTATTTAAGTGCCATACATGAAAGGGCGTAATATTGTTTTACATTACGAAAGGATCTGTTCTATTTATTAACTATAGTTCTACAATGCCAAATATGCCTTACTAGCATTGTATTCTTCTTTCATCAAATCTTTAACCATAGGTTGACCAATCAGAGTTGTGCTTTATTCCAATATTGCATAATATTTGATTATTGATAAGTTCTACTTTTCTTGGCTAGAGAATAAAAGTTGTGTAAATATAAGTTGTTTAAATTGATACATGTCAAAAAGCGCCACACAATTTAAGTTAAAATTTATAGTTTTGCATCCAGAGCAGCACCACACAATTTAAGTTAAAAGATGTAAGAGCATTCTGAACTACAGTAATTTGGGTCCATAAAGGAGACAAGCTGTGTTTTAATTGTGAGCATGGCAGCCATTCCACAGTTGTTTGTCATCTTCCTCCACTTTTTCCTCCTCATCGGCAGGTGGTGCTTGTGCTGCATGAATTTATTTCATTAGAATATTTGCATATTTTACTGTTGTTTGGTACTGCAGATGCACCATAATATTTAAATTTAGATCCAAAATGAAAAAGTACCTTTACAGGGACAACAGGAATCTAGACTGTGGGGAATGCCCTACACGTTTCTCAAGTATGGTGTTGATTATTTTATTAGTTAATTAATTTTTTTGTTTTAAAAAGTGTTGTGTGAATTACTGTTTTGTAAGTGCCCTGAACTTGAAGTTGGATAAATTGTGAAAGAGGGATTATTAATTTTATTTTATTTTTGACACAAGTAAAGAGAATCTTTATTACAGATTAAAGTATTCTTGGATTGACTAGTTTCCATTTGGAAAAATCTCATGCCCAAGTTGCCACAACCTTCTTTATCCATTGGAACATGTCAATTGTTTGTAAAAGTACCTCCATTGTTTCTTACTTCCAAGGATCTACACCTACAATTAAGCCAATTGGTTTAAATAGAGGTGCCAATATTCACTAATCTTTCCAAAATTAAACTTCTCTATTCCTATGCACAAAAAACCAATGTACATTCCTAAAATCTATGTAATACAATTTCTTGATGTCCTATGAGACAAATGAGACAATATTAATTAATACTATTACTAATTTTGCTCTTCTATGCATTCACAACTACCAAGTGGTGCCATACAAGTCAAAGAAGACTACATTCTTTATGCTCTCTCTATTTGTTTTGCACATTGTTCCAACATAATTTATATATAACTGATATGAAACATGCCTATTTGGTATCTACAATAGCTAATTCAAAATGTCATTGGAGTAAGAAGTATCAACTCATTTGCATTGAGTAATTCAAGAAGGTCTTGCATGACTAACAAAATCACCTTGAATCCTATTAAAGACTATTTAGTTGATGATAAGAATAGGAGATAAGTGTACTCTTTTGTTTGCATTTCATATATTTGATGTGTATTCTATATGCATTCTCTTGAGCAAGAAAATTCTTAATATATCATGCTTTAATTCAAGTATCTATTTTCATGCGGTTAATGGTGATAATGACTACTAGTTTATAAGTGTTTGTTTGAACTTGATATATCTAAACTATAATAAAAATCCATGAGTGGATTGCTCTTTGTACTAGAATAAATAATGCACTTGCTTGTAATACAATGAACAAGGGCGGATTATTGTCTATCACATATATATATCCATCCATACTTTTATCAAAATCTCTCTAATTGTCATGCATAGGATATGTTTTAATGCATTGTGTATTGTTTGGAGGGCAACTATCTATTCCAAATTTTCTTGATAATAAGACAAATTTAGCCTCAACTTCTATAATCATAAGGAAGTGCTTTCCATTCTATATATTGCTATAGACATACATGCTTATCTAATATAATTGACAAGCCTTGAATTTAAAAAATCCTAATGAAATCAATAGAAAAATGAAATAATGCCATAGACTACAATTCATCAATTCTTTTAAATTCTTAAGTAGAATAAATGCAATTTATAGATTTTTTTTTTTTTTTTTTTTTTTTTTTTTTTTCCCTATATTGTATTGACTAAATTCTTGGCTATAAAGCCTTGATGACTTTGGTGAGTTAGTAAAGTGAAGTAGTCAAAATGTCAAGGACAAGAACTTGATAAAAATAAATATATAAGTGAGAATTTTTTCAAAGAAAGATGATAAAATAAAAATAATTAAATATGTATATTAGAAAGAAACTAAAATGGCTATTGCTAAAAGACAAGAATACTAGAGATCCTTGAAACTACGCTTTCTTGTTGAGGCCTTCATAACTTCCTTCAAATAAAACATTTACAACACCATTAGTAGTTGTTCCTACTTCTGGTAAAATCACCAAACACCAAGAGTCCCTTCTAAGATTGTGATACCAAACGCATTGTATCTCGTTATCTATTTGAGGAAGAACATGTCGTTCTTGAGGATCTTCATCTTGATTACGTCGTCTTGAAGGTTGTAATAATTCTAATGTCACGTTCAATAGATTAGCAAATGAAGGCTATTGAGTCAAATCTACTCGTTGTTGATTCTCCATCTCCTTAGCGTCACAACTACAAAGAAGCTACAAACAAGGATTGAAAGTAGAATGTTATCTTGCCTAGATCTTGTTTCTTTTATAAGGAAGGTTTTCATCTTGATTTTGATGGATGTTGTCGATGAAAAGCCTCCACCACCTTTGTTACATTTGTAAGATTTTTTATTGGCTTCTATGTGCATTCACTAATATCATATCTACGCCAATAGATAAGATATTCTAATATATTTTGGCACCGCCTTGAATCTAAGACTTCTTCCACTTTGAACTCTTTATTATTGTCCACTTCTATAAGAAGAGGTAGAATTTGTCTTCTTTTTGGTATGTCTACTGTCTTGTATGGTTCAAAAAGAGACACGTGGAATACTGCATGGATTTTCATTAACTCTGGTAGATATAAACGATATTCAATTGAATTGATTTGTACAGAAATAGAAAATGGTCTAAGCTTTCGACAGTCCAACTTGTCAGAAGGATGAGTGGTCTTGATATTATGACAAAGTAACCATACCTTGTCATCCATGTAGAATGGTGGTTGTTCTTTTCGATAGACATCCGCATTGACCTTTTGTTGATCTTGTGCTTCTTTTAACTAAACCTTCATTGTTGCATGTAGCTCTGACAAATGTTTTGCCAAATCTTTCGCTATAGGATTATCAGCATTTGAAAAGTCAAAAGCATCAAGTCGTAGATGATAACCATAATTCACAAAGAAAGATGTTTGTTTTGTAGAATAATGTACCGTATTATTATAAGCAAACTCTGCCAATGGCAAAAGAGTTGTCCAATCATCTTGTTGGTACTTAATAATACATGTTAAATTCTGCTCCAAAACTTGATTAACATGCTCCATTTGTCCATCAGTTTGAGGATGGAATGCTGAAAATAGTTTTATATCCACTTTTAGAATCTTGAAAAGAGTCTGCCAAAATCTTGATATAAACTGAGTTCACCTATCTGATATAATATCCTTAGGTAATCTATGATAGCAATAGATATTGTCAAGAAAGAGCTTAGCTGTTTCTTCACCTATAATAGATTTTGTACATAGTATAAAATGTGCCATCTTGATAAAACAATCTACTATCACGAATATAGAGTCATAAGAATCTGATATTGGAAGATCTGTGATGAAATCCACAGAAACAGAAGACCATGGTTGTTTTGGAATGGATAATGGCTGAAGAAGTCCATAAGATTGATGACCAGGAGTTTTTGATCTTAAGCAAATATCACAAGATTGTACAAAATCTTTGACTGCCTTCCACTTTTG